CATGCTTTTGTCACTTTTCTTGCACAAAGGGATATCTGACAATTACATGCATACTTGACAGTAAATGCTGCATTATTGTGCAAACAGTCAGCTACCGTTGTTATTGATATTCTATATTAATACGACAGATACAATGTAGATTTGTACTTTTGAAACCTGCAACCAACAGCAATGAGTAAGGGTAACTGTGCACCAAACCTACGGATATTTTTTCTTATATCAGAAAACAATTTTAGTTTAACATTGTTTGATAAATGAATCACAACAAGAGAAATAATCGATACCGACTTCGTCAATTATTACCAACATGGTAATCTTTCAGTTGAGATTGTAAATGTATAGGTTAACCGGGATCCCTTATCCCTAATGATTTTGGCACTTGAAATTTCAGGAATTGTTGCACTGTAAGACTACTTTATTAATATGCTACCGATGCTTATCCAATATTTCATAATCTTAAAAGATTTTCAAAATAGCGCCACAATCAACGTTTTACAATTAATCAAAAGACGATTAATTAAAATTCCTAGCTGGAAATCACTTTGTTTGGGACAGTCATAGCAACTATAGCAATAATTTAAAGGAATAAGTATCATGAATTTATTGTCTAGTTAATCAATGAGTGAGAGCATGGTGGTATACAGATGGAAGCTGTATACAAATTAATTATAAATATGTTAAATTAGCATTTGATAATCCATATCTTTTTCAAAACAAACAGCACAATAATGAACTGAATTTTGTTTTAATAAGGTATTCCTTGTTTAAATCTTTAATTAATATCTTAGATTTTAAACATTGGAACACGATAGGTGCGTTATTTGTTTCTTTAGTGGGCGATCCTGAGTCTTTTTAAGACAGCTGAAAGCTACAACAGTTCTATTTGTTATATTTCCGTGCAATTAAAAGCAAGTCTTTCAAAAGATGACTTTTATTAATCTTAACCTGCTGGACCCGAAAGTGATAACCCTTTGCCACCATCTTATTAAGGACAGCTCTGGAAAAATCCAGTAATTCAGTAGCTTAAAAGAATATAGCAAAACCACGAAACCAATAGATGAAAGACATCATGGAAGACATTAATTAGGTAAAACAATGCAGATCTGGGAGCGATAAAAACATCCATGTATAGACGATATATAAGAAACTGTCCACAAGGACATTTAAATAATCACCAATATATGTGTGATTTCTTTTTTACATTTACTCTTTATACAGATTAATACAAGCGTTAGTGTATGATTTATAATACGTGGTATATGTTAAATGGTGTATCCCTTAACGAACCTATCGCCCTACACATTCTTTACACGTTTGTAAGAGTTGTAAAGGTTTAGGAATCCTTTGAGAATAATGGGGAAGTTTGTTTAACAAATTTGTAAAATTGCACAAAAAGTGAAAGAATTATAATTTCACTTTACATGTATATACAAATATAATATTATGTTACATGGACTATGGATGTTCATTCAATCACCGAGCGATTGCCTTTTATCATTTTGATATGTCAGTAAAGTCATATCATCCTTAATTATGCCAGAAAATATATTTCTTAACTTAATTTAGCACCGAAAGTATTTCATAATGTACTCAGTATACACAAAAATAATAAAATATTTAAAAAAAAATTCCTTACAGATATAGTGTGCTTAAATTTGATATTTGAAATTACTGATAATTTCCATACAGCCTCTATTTAAAGATATTTTTTTTAAATACACTGTTATGTATGCAACATATTACATGTATATAATTTATATCTGACCAGTTGGTATTTCCAATATTATCATTGTTCTATTTTTAGAACATAAACTACATGTATGTACTAGAAGGTTCTTAATTGTTGTAGAAAACTCATGCATTATATTTAGATAGAAACTTCTGGAATGATCTTTATTGTTGAAGTTGCTAGATTATGATTACTTGAGAACATAATAGACCTTTCTGGAAACTTCTTAGTTAATATATATAAGGAGACATTTTTCATTAATCGGATCTTTAAGTCATCAGTTACCTTTTTAGTCATCAGTGATCTTTTAAGTCATCAATATATTTGGAGTATTATTCAACTTGGAAATTAAGTGATTTATTGGAGCTTGGATTATTAATTATTCTTGTGGATTTTATTGTGGGAATTTATTCTAAAGTGTTCTTGGATTTAACTTGGATTTAACTGTGCTATTGAAAAAGGATCATTCCAGGATCAGACTAGACATTTGTAATTTTTATTTGGACTTCAGGTATTTGTAAAGATAATTTGTTATTTTATTTTTCTTTAATAATTTTTCTGTAATAAATTTGTTATTGTTACAAGTTTGTTGCTGGCTTTTCTTTCTCGTTACGCCTGGTTCGTAACAACACAAAAAGATTGTGTTACCTTTTAAACTCAGCACATGACATAATTAAACAGAGTTATAATACAGACTGTCATTGTTGGCATTTCTGTAAAGAAAAGACCAAATATATTTAACCAGCAATAGGGCATCACATGCGACTTCACAGACATAGTTTTGCATTCTTATATTCACATTAGACATATTCAGTAAGTTTTTTTCCTAGATTTTCTATAAATTTCTGCTATAAAAATATTATACCCAAATATGAGCACAGTATAAATTTAAAACACTAGCATTAACCGTACTATGTATATGTATATTTGAGCATTATAAAACCGAAAGATGACCGCTTCTAATTTCATAATGAAAATTTACTTAAACATGAATGTTACGGGACACAAACATGACTCGATGCCACGGTCATTGAGTTGAAGGACACTTTCTTTTGGTAATTACTAATTAACACAGCGTTCAAATTGGTAAGACCTTTTTTCAATGTTTTGCTCTTAGTCACGTTATGTCCACCAAAGTGTAAACTTTGAGTGCAAAGGTAAAATTCAAAATGACTTGATTGTGTTCAATTTTATACTACGCATAAATAAACAACAATCCACTTGACCAACGGGCATTTCGATAAATGAGCCGCGTCACGACAAAACCAACATAATGGGTTTGCGACCAGCATGGATCCAGACCAGCCTGCGCATCCGCGCAGTCTGATCAGAATCCATGATGTTCGTTTACCAACTCTATTACAAGTAGAGAAACTGATAGCGAACAGCATGGATCCAGATCAGACTACGCGGATGCGCAGGCTGGTCTGGATCCATGCTGGTCGCAAACCCATTATGTTGGTTTTGTCGTGACACGGCTCAAATATTGTTAAGAATGTACGAAATCCTCATGGTGCTGATGTATTGTCTAATCAGGTATATCCGAAAATGTACAGACCTGTCACAAACAATAGAGGTGTGTAAAAAAAATGCTTCACGGGTGGTTTGTTATACTCACATAACCTGCAGTCAAAACTGATAAACCTAATGCTTTATTGTTTAATGATTTCCGGCATATTGTAGGATAATTTTTATTACATTTATGACAGAGTGATCATATTTGAATAACAATAACGCACGCGCAAAAACCTGACAAATACTGTAAATCTTGATTAAACATGGACTTTTTATTGCCTTTTTATTTATTACAAATCTTTATGCAATAAAGATAACAATACTTTTTAAAGATACGATGTTCTACAAACCAAATTTAGCAAATTTTAAAGAAAAACTACGATTCTCATCATACATAAAAGGTGATATTTGAGTAACGTAGAAAAGAAAAACATGCACATTTGATGGAAAATTTTATAACTTATGCACTAATTGTACAAATTATAAAATGACGCTAATGTTTTGTTGTTTTTTGTTGTTTATTTTTTTTTGTCCGCCAGGGTCTATTTTGCCTCCTAATTTCAAGTTCGTCCTATTGCAGATTGCTCGAAATTGTTGCCTTTTTTCACGTGACATTTTAACAGTACTTGATATTGTGATAGTATTCAGTTCAATTGATTAAATTGTTCGTATATATTCGGTGAATTTCATTAGATTAAATGTACTCTGTCCATAAAGTTCTTAATTTGATAATTTCAGACAACATCTCCCAGTTTTTTTTTTAGATGACACTAATTAAGTTGTTGAATTGTTCCGATATTTTCCTCTTAATATTTGCATTAGCTATTCAGTGCTGGAAACATTTTTTTTTGTAAACTTTCAAAGAATTGTTCCATATTTCTATGTCGGTATCAAAAGACTGTTTCTTCACTGTGTCATTTGTATTAAGAGCAACTGGACCAAAAGCTTAACCAAGGACAATTGTAACAATGTTGTTTCTCGATGTATTCTTAAATGGCCAAGTTCTTCTCAATCTTAACTCATTAATAGTTACATGGAGGACTTTGCCTTAGCTATGTTAGCTTTGTATTTGGGAAATGAGATTAAAAGTTTGTAGGAAGCAGGTATTGAAACTAAATTTAAAGAATTAGTCAATTTTGCAAGGTATTTCAAGAAAAGAATTCACAATAGAGCTTCATTATGGCTTGATGTATGAAGTTTGAATTACTCGTCAAATGGAGTCTTAACTATAAAACATAAGTAGGAAAAATATGATGAATGTCATTACATCAAAATAAAGCTTAAATTGTATCCAACAAGTGTTGCCCACATGCATATTTAATTGATGATAAATAGCGAATACAATGGTTTTTTTTTAATTATTCACTGAAATATACAAGGGTTATCTGCCATAAACAAATACAAACAAAGGGCATAACAAGGAGCGTCTCAAATGCTTTACTTCCGTTTTAGATAAGATACCACATTGTATTTTATGCGATGTGCACGATTTTGTAAAAATAATAGTTCAATGTTTAGAGCCATGTAATATTAAAGAAATAATGTATTCTCAACAGTGATTTTATCTCGAAATAAAAGTATGTTTATATTTCGGATGCGATAAATTGCACCATGAGGGGCGCATCCGAAAGATAAACAGTGATTTTATTTAAGCGACAGATTCACTGCTTGGGATATATTAATTCGATTCTAACACATTAACAAATAAATGCTACCGTACCTGATATCAGCGTCGCATTTTCAAACTTCCTTTTTTTCAATAGGGAAAAATGCGGGTAATTTTTAGAACTGGTTTCAATACATGTACATATTAACATTGTAAGCAATCGGAACATCTCGAAAGGGCCGAAAAGTTGTCAGCTGTTTTCTTTTGATAACGTATGTTATCTGTATAGCTAATTAGCTATTAATGGTATTACCTCTATTCCTTACTTAACTGTTTTACATTTTGAAACCTTATCATCATTCATTTTTAGATGAATTTCTCTTCCATTTATTTTGAACATTTGTTTCCTTTACCTCTTTACCACGAGCTTCTTTCCTCACATTCCTCTTTTCGATATCAGTTTTTGGTGCAGATTAACGGAACACATGCTATTGTATAATCTTTTGCAGTAATTTCCGAAATTTTGCTCATAATTTTGTTAACTTTCTTCAAAATTCATTTTTCTTTCAGACAGTTATTTACAACACTGATTCACTCCTATTGATATCTTTATCGTTTTCCAATAAATGAGTACTTGTTTCTGGACATTGTATGTCATCGTTAGTTGTTTGTTCTTTTCTGCAATGTTTGCTTATTGAATACTTGGCCTGAAAATTAAAAAAGAGCTTATATGAATTTGTGTAAATAATAACTTTTACAGCAGCTGTTAAGTAGTATGCAGTTAGAGTTTGAAGTGGAAGTGAAATAGCAATGACATTTATTAAATCCGTTATCGATCTGTAGTCAACCTTTCACCCTTTAAAATTACGGTGCACCGATCTTTGTAAAAACGTATTGACCTATGCCAAAATAACATGCACTAGTTGTAGACTTTAAACTGTACCAAATACTCCGAAAAACGATTTTAGGAGCATCGTAGAACGAAAAGTGTTCTGGGGTGCATGTCCCCGTACCACATCAGTTGCACGGGTAAAAAATCGTGACTGTGGCCTGAATTTTAATAATTAGTAGAAACGATGACAAACGTCTCAAGTATTTCAAGCAGCAAAAGTGATCTTTGCGCGGTCTCGTTGCAATGAATTAATATAGGTTTAGATTACCGGAGACAGTATTGAACAATTAGAGTACAAACAGAAGTAGCGATAGCGATAGCACTGACATAAGCAATGAAAGTGACAAGAGTGTTGATGAACCATAAGCAATTGCAATGACAGTGACAAAAAACATCCGGATAATCAGCAGCGATGATGATTTGCAGATATAATAGAAAGTAAAAATGTCCGCAATATATTTGTGAAAGCAAAAGTTGAAGCACTATCATAGGTGGCACTAGTTGTTGTAGCGACAGAGATATCAGGGACGATACTACCGATAGTACAAGTAGCGAACATTACAATTACAATGGTTATATCAGAAGCAAGACAGTGATTGTCAGTGACTGCACCAACAACAGAAGCAAAAGCGATGGTAGCAATAATATCATTGGCAGAAACGGTAGTTGAAGAGGTTGTACTGAAACTACCAACAACAATACATGTAGAATTGGTTAAACATATTTATCTTTTAAAATACATATACATGCTAGTGATTTAATTATATAGAAAGCATTTCAAAAATCCTTACAAAAAAGGATAAGATTGGAAGATAAAGTCTTACAAAATTCTTTTCCTGAATTGATAGTTGACATATAATGTAAAAGATGCTTAATTCTTAACAAAGAAAACTGAGGCTTATATCTAAAAAGAGAAAACAGATGTGTATTATTTGACTGCCTAAAATAGATATGGTTTGACGCAATCAGTAGCGATTGCAATTATTTCAACTAATAAATATAACTATTTTACGAAACGTAAGTAATGGTGGGGAGCAATGGAAGGGAAAGAATAACACATTCAAGTAAAGAATTACCCTTCTCTTCCTAAATTTTCTATAAGCGCTGAAAATGAAATATGTAAAACGATTTCATAATTATACCTAAATTAGATCATTTTGATTTTTATACAAATATGTAGAAACAAAATTTAGTGTTACCATTCGCAATATTGTAATTGGTGATACTCTGATTTTTACTAATCCATTTGTTATAATTTTGTGATAAATTATTTGGTTTTCAAGAAAAAAACAATATTATTTCTCTACTCAACCACTAACTAAATTGCATTTTCTATGGAGATGTGACGGAAAAGCATCTTTAAATTGCAACTGAATACATCCTTACACGCCGCAGTTGTGGTGTGATCAAATAATGAAAATTATAACAGTAGCGCTTCGACAGTCCATAAGTATGCTTATAACAGTTATTCATTAAAATTTAAAAAGTTTGTTTTTTTTTAATTTTGAACATACATGTACTATAATGGAAGTCTGGATGATTGTCAACAGAGAAAAAAAGTGAGCTGTTTTGACGTCTAGCTCATTAAGAGACGTTGAGTTGGTGTTCAACTAAAAATAATTACATTCCATGTAAGCATGTACACAATCACGTTATTATTGCTCATTATTGAACAAAATTTTATAAAAATGTTATATAATTATATAGAAAACACGTTTACTTACATATATGATAATATCCAGATACCAATTATAATAACTACAACAATTATTACTACTAAGGTTGTTATTGTGGTGCTTGTCTGATTGGTTGTCGGTGTGGTTGTACTTCTTGTCGTGCAGGGAGTCTGTATGATTGGACAGTCTGTTTCAAAAAGTATACTATTTGTATAACATCTTCTGGCGATTATACAAACATCTTTTAACAACAAACTGTTGTTAAGAGCATGATCTCGGAATTCCAAGTATGGTATCATCGGGGGAGGGCACGGTGCAGAGCGAGTAGCATCCTCAATACTTCTCCCTTTCATCGAACACAAACCGGTGTAAAAAGAAGTGAACATGAGTTTATAATCCATAAATTTATCATTTACATTCCGTATTAAGATGCGAAAAGCATCTAGCTTTATATTGCAGGATATTTCATCAGCTTATTTTGATTTTATGAACAATACAAGCGCATGTATTTCAGAATGCAGACTTACCGTATTGTTATCGTTCGTTTAATTGTCCATCGTCTTAGCCAGTCATGATTAAACATCCTTTGTACACTACTTTATTGTACCTTTCTTCAGTGTAAATCCAACATGGCGCGGAGAATTGTATATCATGCTTTTTACGAAATCATCCGAAAGAGTGTGACTTGTCCGCCTTGTGATGATTTTACGAAGTAAGAAAATCAACTATTTTACTTATACAATCTGCTTGTCATTAAATAATTATATTATTAAGATTACATCTCAAGGTTACGCATATGGAAACAAATTGACACAATGTTACAAGTTCTTTTTCATCCGATAACAAAAAGCACTTTAACATGAAGCATGGGTCAATGACAAACTATGTTCAGATAAAATAAAGATAAACCATCTTTATATTTGCACAAAATTTGATTGTGGTACTGAAGATCAAATAATATGATGTTCAGTTTCAATCTGTATTTGTTTTGAATACTTCATAAAGCAGATAACAACGAAACTATTTTTTTCACAGACCATATTGTTCGCAATTGTGTCGGTTCTTTCCCCCACTTTTTGTCTTTCAATGAAAACATCTTATAGTTGAATTCTTTCTAGTCACATTGTATTTGTTTTCATCTAATATAACTATTTTCACGTTATCCGCCATTTTATTATTAAAATGACAATTTTCAATTCAACTGTAATTTTTGTCGATTTTCCCCTCAAGTCAAATTTAACCATTAGAGCTTAAGGAGGTGGATTCATAAATTATTTTTTTCATCTAATTAAATGCAATTTGTATGACTCAAGAGCTAGAAATGGAGCACGTTTTTATGTGTTACTAGGCGATTTAAATTTCAGAAGTGCTTAAACTGTACCGACTACGAAAAATATGTATATAAATACTTTTGAAAAAACAAACAAATATATACAAATGAATTCAGAAAATAAAATAGAAAATAGAAAATTATTAATGTAAATCTTTAAAGGTTACTACTCTTTAAAATTAATCAAAAAATTGTCCCAAACACTGCAAGACGCGTATGCATTATAAGCATATCAAGTTTTTTTGAGAATAGTATATATGTATTTGAAAATGTTATAGATACCTACGTATCTTGATTGTAAATAAAAGGTTTTGTTACCGTTCACCCAGAGCCTCAATGGCATACAAGAATATCAAATACTACTAATGTATGTCAAGTCTTTATTGCAGTGATGATACATAACCCAAAACGTGATATGTAGTTATGTACATGAAATCAGACATATACAATGTATTTCTTTGACATTATTTTTCTTTATCATATATTTGTTAATGCAATATTGCTGAAATATTGAGAAATATTGATGAAATAAAATCCTTTTTATTCATTTTCCGTATTTTCACTGTAAATATAAATTTTCACTGCAGTTAAGCATATTTTCTGTATTTCCACTGGTATGTTGCTGGACTACATTCTTCTTATTTCAGCCAGCACACAAAATTAAAGGCGAAGTCTTTCCAATGATAAGGTTTTACTATAAATACGGGATATATTTTAATTACATGGCATAAAAATTAAAATAGTTTATACCACTTGATGATATTAAACCCGTTTTGATAGATAAAACTTGAGTTTCATCTATTTATTATTGTTTCTAATTCGCATTAAATTCCATGCGGAAACCGTAACTCGTTGAAGCGGTGTTACAATTTTGTAATTGTTATGCCTTGAGTTTCATTATTTACATATATAACGCTTGATTGCTTTAGTACAGTTTCTTTTGACAAATTTTGATCACATTTGTGTCCATGTTCATCATATATAGTACGTTGTGGTTCCGTAACCGGAGTAGCAGAAATAATTCTTATTTGTTTTGTCTTCCTTAATTTCAAGTAGATTATCATTCCTCTGAAATTTAGAAGGTAAATGTCAAACTCGTCAATTAATATATTTACAATGACAAACATTAGCCAAAACAAAATCAGAAATATGAAGACAAAGATCCAACAGTGGAGAGTGATACTAACGTAACGCATCCCCCGGCAACGTAAGAAGTAGGAACCATGATCACATTAAAATGTAGTTTTTCTGTGTGCTTCTGTAAGTAATGTTGTCAAAATTATATACGAATTTACGAGTACATGAGTTATAGAATAATGAGTTATATCAAATAGTGGGTTATCACATTTTCAAAAATGCATTTTTATTTATTTATTTATTTGCTTCATGGCTGATTACAAGATTTATAAACGAACATGATATATAAAGAGCTTATAATGAGGTCTTATAAGAGGTACAAAATCTTTAAAGCCATATCGACATTAAATGTTTTAACACCTGTAAAACATATCCAAATAACACATTTTGTTTCAACATCTTAACAAAAGATACTCGCACGAGGTAAAAGCACTTTTACTTACATATTTTTTCTGGAGTTTTGTCATAGCATTAAATGATTAAATCAATGAAATACTGCAAGATATGTTTTAAAAATGAAACTGTCAAGTTTGGGTTTTTCATATTAGTGTTGACGCCTTTCGTTTTCTTTCATACATTTATTTTAAGAAAAAACTAATAATGTCAGTTTAACTTAACAAATTATTATCTTGAAAATTATCTAGAGAATTAATAACATTTTAAAAGCTGTGTACAACGTTGTAAAATTTTTGGTTGCACGATTGGCAAAAATGCGAGAAATTCAACAAGAACATTAATTTTCGAAATTCCTTTAGATTAACTAAATATCTAGTGTAAATGTTTCAGAAAGATCTTTTAGATTATTTTACTTATTTTATGAAATTCCCTCTTTAAGATTGTAATTTTAAAATGACAAATACAAATTCTGCTAATATTCAGTTATTCCCTGTAAATTTCAAAGGAGGTCAAACCGTCTTCGTCCGAAAAAAGTAATAAAACTGGAGGATATTACTTCAAGAGAAACATTTGAAACGTGAATATTTGTATGATTTTTGTCGTAAGTTATTACCAAACCATACTCACACGATGATGACAGCAATAGCAGACAAAAGTACGATTAGTATAACTATACCAATATCTTCGGAATTAGCTTGTGAAATCGGTAAGTAATCACTGGATAACACTGTGCTTAGAGATGTACGAACTGTAGACGATGTCTGATACGTCGATGAAATCGTACTTGCAGATGAGTTACCAGTAACAATGCTAGATAAATCATCTGTTGTCACAGTTGTTGATGTTAACGAGCAGTCAATATTAGAACCAGTTAAACCACATCTTGTTGCTAAGTTACAAACTTCATGCATACACAAACTTTGATTTAGTGCATGATCTCGGAATTCATTATAATTAAACCATTGTGGAGGACAAGGTGCAAAATTCAGAAAATCTATGTTTGTGACATTAGACGTCAGTTTACATAGACCAAAATAATCCATATTAAAAACGTATGTCTCTGCTATGTAAAAGTTTCAATTAAAAAGATATTCCATAAGTATATTCACTGTGCACAAATCAAAATATTTCATATAGTATATCTAAAGCATTTACAGCGTAGATAAATAACACGTGATATCACAAGCGAACAAATAAAATGGTGATAATATAATACTGCATGAGGTATATGATAAATATGGTAAACTATGTAATTATATAGCTAAGCATGCAGGTGCAAATTAAATGATAATGATACATAACATGTATGTAAAATTATTTTTACACCATTACATAAAATGATAATGCAATCAGAGGGCGATAAATAAACTTTGGACAAAATATTATTCGTTGCAAGAAAAAAGACAAGTACGAATATCAATTGTACTATCTGTAATATATATAATGTAAATGCTCTTCAGGGATGGAGGTAATAAAGATAATAATAAATATAATGTATTATGTGTTTTTGATTATGTAATAAAACATTAACAAACATATTTGATTATTAAATGAATTATAACTGGTGTGCATGTAAAGTCAAACAAAAAGCAGAGACGACTTGTCATTATATTTCACTTCGATAGTAATCAAAGACAGTTTATTGTAATATGGATACTGCTTAAGCAATAATTCATTGCATTGCACGCGAGCTTGCCCATCTGCCAGTAAATGGGATATCCATCTAGCACAAATCAATCTCATTTTCAAGTCATGTTTTAAAAAAGAGAGGGTTGTATGTTCAATCGGCATTAACTATTCTTTCACTTTAGCAACCTTTTTGACAGACGTTGCTGTTTAAATCCGACGGGCATGTTGTACATCTTCAGTCGTTATTAACTCACATTTGAATTTATAAAACCAACGAATAAATGATGAAAAATACATTTCATTGTGTTCATATACAGAACAGATTTCATTAAAAATGTGTTGACACTATGCAAATGAGACAACGATTCCTAATATAAGACCGCATTTCAATGGCATACTCTGGTCTTCTACCAACCATTTGTGTATTACAGTATTTGAGTAGACAATGTATAGCGAGCCATGAATACAACTTAAGTGAACGGATTTTTTCCGCAATATTAAACAATTTAATTCTAGATGCAATCATATTTGAACACTCCTCGTACTGCGGCAATATAAAGTCGGTAAATGACACATTAAAATCCAAACTCCTCACACTGATTACCTCCCTTGGCAGAATTGTAATATCTGTACTGATTAGGGGAGATCACTGCGTATGAGATTGATTAAAACCAGCATTAATATGCTAAAAACTTGCGACAGTTAACCGAAAAATGTCTGAAGATAATTCCGCAAAGAGCAGAGCTATCTAATACAATGAAATAACAATATTTTTATCTAATAATACTGTAACATTGGCAGCAACTGACCTATGTTTTTTTTATCATACTCATTATCATACTTATTGACGTTTCCTTTATTCGTCAATTAAAGCAATTCGTCTCAAAAGTCGCATTGCAGTTTTGTTTTTTATAAGAAATATCTTGCTAATTTTACAAAAAGGAAAATTTGCTAAGTTCAATATGTTAACAAATATAAAACAAACAAAAACACTAAAGTCTTAACTCGACGACAGTTGTATAAATGTATACAATTTCTATTTAATTTGAAAGTGTTTCACATTTTGCATCCGAATGTAATACAAAAGAAAGTACATTTGATTTGGTTTATTCCTTTTCTTCTTAAAGTGCTAACCCTTATAGAATAGCAGAATAACATTTTGTTCCTGAACATTTTATTCTGTGTACATACAATTTTCATATTTGTTGAATAACATATATATCTTATTTTCCAGGTATTTCAAAAGATATAGCTTTTATTTTTTAAATTAAGGGGCATGACAGCTTATTTTAGGTTTAAGGAGCAATCAGAAGAAGTTTCAGAATAACATACTAGAACGTACGTCAGCCACCAGGATACTCATAGTCTGAATGAGATTAATATGTAAATAAGAAAATACCTAGCAACACTTACTGTATTGCTGTCATTATATCAATCATGCTTTTGTAACGATGTTAGATGAAATGATTTCTAGTAACTCTTGTAACCTAATAAGGTGAAACGAGAACCTATTTATTACCGTACCTGTATGAATCAAGAGAACGTAGGTTCGAGCCGATATCACCTCGCGATCGTGTTTCTTCATTTGACACCGTCACTGGTTATATAGCTCAAGGAAGACAACAGAAACGTATATAGGTCGCTACTCGGTATAACACACACACACACACACACACACACACACACACACACGCACACGCACACGCACACGCACACACACACACACACACACACACACACACACACACACACACACACACACGCACGCACCAACACACACACATACACACGCACACGCGCGCACGCACGCACGTACAGACGCACGCACGCACGCATGCACTGACTCTTTATGACCTAAGCGGTGGTTGAAAGGACGACAAGTTTAGATCTGTGCCTTTGTATATAAAAGTTTTCAAATACCTTTTTGGTTATGTCTTTTTTTCTCTAAAGTTACTTTCCATGTCAAAGAGTGTTTAGTTTATATAGATGTCTGATTAAATTGATTTTGATAAAGCAGTCAAACTATGGCAGGAACGATGATAGGGGGTGGGGGGGATTATGAAACATGCAATTCAAATTACCAGCTTGATGTGGATATCTTTTGGTATTGTTATGCATGTTATGACTACTACTGATTATGATCATTTGGTATGAAATAAAGTTTTTATCATTGTCCATCTTAATAACCGATAAGGACAGAAATACAAAACTGCCGTATGAACATAAAGATAATAATAAGCAATGATGTTATTCAGATAGAAATATGAATAATTCAGGAATTCAAACTCCATTTAATTACCATTAACGTGCGTCATTGAAAAAAAATGAAAACGTGTTGTTAGTGGCGACAGCGGAGTATTTTTATTTATTTGCTTTCATCCGCGTATAACTGAATTACGCAGTTGTTGTTTTAATATTTTGTAGGTTTTGTTCTAAATTTCCTTCACTAGAATTTTCTGAAACAGGTTCTTTAATCGTTGAATAGCACTGCAATTCAAGGTCTTCTTTTGTTGTTCTAGGTGTTTCTTTTACAGTGTGTTGAGAATTTGTTGTATTAGCCCTTTTCTTTCTTTCCTTGTAGAGTGATATTCCTCTGAAATATAACGAATAACACATGGGTTTAACTGAAGAAGAAATGTTTTTTTTTATTATTTTGTTATACTATGTTTTGGCTGCAATATCTAAGCAAATGTTATAGAATATTAAGTTTTTAAAGATATACTCTGCCCATCTTTGAGTAAAATATTCTTACGGAATATGTCGATAAATAAAAGAATGAATAAGCGGGGTTTTCTATTACAGGTCAGGTAAAGTTAATCTTCACTTAATGACACTATATATGCATATTGTGACCATCTATAGTGTGTAGAATTTTAAACATAACATATCCATTGTGTGTGAAGTCAAAAAATGTTACTTTATATTAAAAAGAAACAGTGTATCAACGGGAACATCTTTCTAAATAATACATTTAGGTTTCCTTGAACGTGCCTAATAAGTGTATTATCAAATTATACTCACATGATTGTCATGATTGTCATGATAATGGCTGCAAGAATAGTCCAAACCACACTGAGTATGATTTTAATGTCATCGTCATTATTAACGTCGTCAAATGGTTGGTTATTACCAGTAACAACGCTGGATAAATCAGTTGCTGTCGCAGTCGTTGATGTTAACGAGCAGTCAATCTCAGAACCAGTTAGACCACATCGTTTTGCTAAGTTACAAACTTCATGCATACAAAAACTTTGATTTAATGCATGGTCTCGGAATTCTCTATAATTAAGCCACGACGGAGGACAAGGTGCGGAATTAAGAAAATCCGTGTATGTGATATTAGACGTCAGTTTACATAGACCAAAATATTCCATATTAAAAGATGTATGTTTCTGCTGAGTTATTGTTTCACTTTTAAATCATTATACATGGTAACATTCCAATCAAACTTTTTCATACTGTATATCTAAAGATTTGGGTTTTTTTGCCGCGCTATTTCCCATTTTCACTTATATTCCATGACTTGATTCATTGCAAATAGATCGTATTATTCGTTATACGCAGATAAGTCTTAACAAGTAACAATATTTATGGTAAGCTATTAAAATTGAATGTTGTGGATATATATATATATCAACATGCAACTTTATTAATGACGTGTCATATATTATGACGTGTCATATATTATGATCTTAAGTTTACCAAAGTAGGATATTTATAAAATCACACAATTGTGATCAGTGGCGTTAAACAATGATGTGAAAATCCGGAATAAGTGCACTCATTTTCATTTTTATTGTTGAGAAAATGTACCGTTAAATTATTAGTTAATTGTCATAAGTCATTTAACCAACAGAAGATAATCACGTGATATAGTAACCATCTATCTCCACAATAACTGCGTTATGTTAAGGATATTAAAAAAGCAGTTTTATGATACAGGTAGCAAAATAATTTACAATGTGATAAATTAAGGAGCATTTATTTACAATTAAAAGTATTTGCGTGACAATAACACTGGTAAAACAAAATACAACCGTGACTTGGTAAAAACCATAACAATAAAGTACAGTCATAAACGATCACTTAAGATTTCAGTTAAAATAGTTTAACCATTAGCAGGATAGTAAATTGATAACAATAGTTAACAATAGTAGCAATGAAAGCAAAAGTTGTCTCACAATACTGTAAATTTGTTGTATATTGTATATATTGTATAATATACAATTGTTTATACTTTACAGAAAGTTCGAAACCACCAACGTCATCCCATAACTATTTCATTTCTTTTGACAAATCATTAAAGTAACTTTAATTCCTGGACTATAAAATAAAAAGAGTATGTAAATAACTTCCAAGGTCAATAGATCAAACAACCTGGACAAATACAATATTTTACATCCAAAAGTGCTATAAAAAATTCTGCTTTAAGCACACTATAATATTAATATAAATGAAAGACATACACGCCCGTTTAACTCACAACGGAGTGAAAAATGTCCATCGGTAAAAATGTTGTGAGCAACTTCCGTTCCTTCGTTGTGAGCACCCATCTATAAACGAGTGACACGATAAACAAGGTGGACTTTTTTCATAATATTTGGAAGATTATAGACATTTTATGTAAAAATATCGGAATGCAGTTAGCTAGCGATGTGTTGTTTCCGAGTATGCACATGTAAAAAGATCATTGCCTGTTGTGGACATTGGATGGAAATACGTCGCGTGCGACGCAGTGACTCGGGGGTAGGCTGGAAAACTGGAGACAACTTCTCTTTGGACCTAATTTAACATTGAAAACGTCGATTCTGGTGACGTTTTTGTGCATTTTCTAACATAAAACAGATGCCCCACAAGTCTTTAGCGTAAATATTAATTCTGAAAGTTCTTCGTAGAAACGAAGATATTACTTTTTTTGCTTTTAATCCTCGTTTTGAGCACCATAACCTCGTTGTGAGCAAGGACCAAGCGCAAGTGCTTGTCTGGTTTTAATATGTAATTCAAATGGCAAGCATTACAATTTTCAATCTACCAAAAGCAAAATCAAAAAAAAAAAAAACGTTTTTTTGTACAATTATAGTTTTCTTTGCAATAGTTCTTCTTTTTTTTTTTTTTTTGAAAAATTATTCTTCATATTCACAAGTCATCAGATTAACAGAAAGAACTAATCAGTGGAGGTAAAATAGGTATTTTATTTTCGTATACTCTAGTGTGGCACGAGTGAACATCACAGGGTGTTTATGAAATATTTCAACAATTTCACAATCTGTGTTACACACATACATGTGTTTATCCTGAACTGAAGACTGACCAAGTTATGTAAAACAAGAACTATCACGGTAAGTTGACAATGCCCCTGAAGGTGGGCTTTGTCTTTGATTTATGGACCCAGTAAAGATTATTTCCTTCTATTACAAGTTTGTAAGGTCTTTGTCCAAAGGGGCATTGAGTGTCCCAAATATGAAATTAATTCCACTTACCCTTACCTAAAGAAGTTGTGACCAAATGTTAAAGTTTTTGGATGTTCTAGAAGGTCATTCACGGTTACAAGGTAAAAAACAATACAGATCAGTTTTAAGGTCTTGCCTCAAAAGGGTGTTGTTTTTCAAAATAGTAGGGAGTCCGTTATACTAATAAAGGAAGTTTAATGAACAAAGTTTTAAAAGTTTTTTGGAACGATTTGAACCTTCAAAAGTGAAAGGTAATTCAGGGGTCGAAGGTCAAAATATATATAGGATAGTTGAAAGGCCCTTGTCCAAAGATGGTGTTGTGTCTAAACATTATGCCAGGACATTATGGCCAATCTTAAAATGTTTGTTTTGGACAATTTGGACCTTGAAAGGTAAAGGCCATTCAGGGGTCAAAGGGTAAAAAAAACAGGTCCGTAGGAAAGGTGCTAAGGGATGTTGTGTCAAAATATGAATCAAATCCGTTTACTTAAGTTATTTGCCAATGTTAAAGTTTTCGGACAGATTGAGGGACTGGACAGACGGACAGTTCAAAACTAATATGCCTCCCTTTGGGGTATGCACAAGGTCTTGCAAAGAAATGCTGCTGTGCAAAAACGTTTTAATTGCTGTGGGTAGATTGAAAATTATATTTTTCACCATCTAGATTACATTATTAAAACCATATACGCACTGCGCTTGTCTTGCTCACAGCGAGGTTATAGTGCTCACAACGAGGATTTAAAGCAAAAAAAGGTAATCTTGTTTCTATGAAGACTTTCAGATAATAATTTACGCTGAAGACTTTGTGGGTATCTGTTTTAGGTTAGAATGCACAAAACGTCACCAGAATCGACGTTTTCAATGTTAAAAATTAGGTCCCCAAGAGAAGTTTGTCTCCAGTTTTCCAGCTAACCCCGAGTCACTGCGTCGCACGGCATTTTCCATCAAATTGTCCACCAACAGGCAATATCTTTACATGTGCATACTCGGAAAACACATCGCTAGCTAACTGCATTTCGATATTTTTTACATAAATGTCTGCAATCTTCAAAAATTATGAAACACTCACCTTGTTTATCGTGTCACACGTCAAAGATGGGTGCTCACAACGAGGAACGGAAGTTGCTCACAACATTTTTACCGATGGACATTTTTCACTCGTTGTGAGTTAAACGGGCGTGTATTTAATTATTTATGAAAAAGAGGATACTGAACGAGTGTATGTTCAATACTGAATTTATTGAAAGAGTTGAAAAAATATATATTATGTGAGCGAAAAACAACAACAACAAAAACCCCACAAAAAAAACAAAGATACAAACAAACAAAAATAACACTAACACGTTAGCAAGGACATTTTCACCAATTCTCGACACCTAAGCCTCACGACAGTGTTTTTTTTAAGTTGATGCTGTGCACAAACTTGACGTGCATGCATTTATAAGTAAAACGATGGCAACGATTGTACAAGCGCGTTGTTTCGATGTTTCTCAAATATTTAATACGTGTATAAGAACCACTGTGCAAAATGTAGACTTTTCTCTTCATAATGGAACTAAACATTAATTACACGCATTTATAATTTTGCAACAATACAAGTATCATTCTTTTCTCCATTTGAACGACTTCGCAAACCGCTTTTAATTACTGGTGAATCGGTTGGGTCATTATCTTTAAAACTTGTAAAATTTCCATCATTTTCTTTAGTTGACTGTGAATGTTCAATAACGTCTGGACTACTTTTAACTTTTTCATTTGTAGTAACATTTTCATAGTGACAGTCAGCGTGAACTTCAAGAATGTTAGATGATCCTCGGTCACTAGATTTCCCGCTAGTTTCACTGTCTGTATCGTTAAATACGACATTGATCGCATCTTGTTTAATATCACCACTCCTTCTTTTGTATACTACAATTATCAATCTGAAAATTAACAAGTTAAATTGAATTCATATGTTACTAGATTTTTCGATATAATATACATTCTAAAACGACAATCAACATACAAAAGATTACAAATAAAGTCACATGCTTAAATTCCTTTGGAATTCAACACCAACAGTATTACCGAAAAACAAGGAGTATACAATTGGAAGGGGGTCGAATTAATCAACATATACGTATGTTAGTAACATTTATAGAATGGAATACTTTTATTTCCAGTCAAAGGTTTTGTAAAATGACATATAAATCACAATAATAATGAGATCAACGATCAATTAAAAATGTAAACGAAAATAAAGCTTGATTCGTATTAGAAAGTAACAATAGAGAGAAAATAACTGATAAACAAACTAAAGTTTACAAACTTAACTACTAAACACCATATTTAAAATGTAATGATACTTTAAAACACAATAACTGTATATAGTATCTTATTGTAGGTTTTCTTTTAAATTACATTCCATGAAGCATTTTACAAAAATAAATTTGCTGATCTGAGACATTTTTTCAAAGTTCAAATTCCTATCTTTTATTTCACTATATGAAATGCTGCGTTGACTAGTAAAAGCATTACAAGCAGTTACAAAGTGAAGCTCGTCTTCAACTTCTTTTCAGTTGCACTCCTCACAGAATCTTCTATCAGACTTGATTGTTTTATATCCACCAATCTCTATTTGCAATGTGTGTTAGAACTTATCCTTATCTTTGTAAAACAAGTTATAATATCTTTATCTTTGATTCTGCTAAATAAGGTTGCCTACAAAAATCTGTACATAAGTACGTAGTTTTCAATCATTATCTTTACCATTTTTCAATTTATCAATAAATTGTATTGAACAATAAGATATTGATTCTTTATATAAATTTTCAGATATTTTTAAATATTTTAGTATAAAGAATACACTGAATAACCAACTATTTCTTTTACAATTGTAAAACATTTCGCAATCAACATGAGCATTGTTTTAAAAAGTTCACTAACTGTAGATTTAGTTAATCTTGTATAATACTTAATTAAACCGATTATGCAATCAAAATATAAATGAAACCTCCCCAATTCACCGGAAACAGCATCATTGCATGTTTTTTGTGAATCCCTAACACACGTTTAAGGAATTGTTTATGTAATTTTTTCACATGGCATATCATTAAATCATTTAATGCAATTAATGCATTGTCATTTTGTTTGTAAATATTGAAGAAGAAATAGATACTGTTTAAACCAAAGCATTGAAATAGACAAAATCGCCCTTTCACTCTACCGGTTGCTGTATTCAGAGTATTCGTTCATGTGTACAGTTAGCTCATTTTGCAGAAATAATGCTTTGAGACTATGCAACCGCCACGAGAATTGTTTATTAACTAACAGGTCGTTTGCATTGATGATTATGCAAAATGTTTGAAAAATATTTATGATTTACATGAATTTATATGAATGTGCATGAATTTGCAAGTAAATCTTTACATTGCTTTATAAAAGAATAAATAAAGAAGAAATATAAATGTTAATGTTCGTTCTTTGACATTCAAAGAGTTGTTATAACACGACAAAATATACATGTACTTACATGCTAATAAGAAGAGCAACGCTTAACACAGATGCAATGATGATTATACAAAATAAATTACATCCTACTTCGGCTTGGGTATCGTGTACAGGGCAGTCCGTAGTCAGTTCTGAACTTTCTGACATGTTGCATCTTCTAGCAATACTGCAGACCTCCCTCTTGCACAGCTTTCCTATGGCTGTCATTTTCAGTTGAATATAGGACAAAAACGGTGGAGGACAAGGAGCACACTGCAACATGTCTTCAATCTCGCCGCCAGTGGTACAAGAACACGAGTGTACATAATCCATAGCAAATATCGTTACACTATAGGTACCATACACAAATGTTGTAAGAAGATATGGCTTTCACTAGTACTGCAGGAGTGGTGCCATTTTTGTTGATCTCAATTATATGGTCGATGGTTCTGTATAATTAAAGATAAATCGAGTAGTATTACTCTTTTTTTATTTTATAGGTTCTTGAGTAGATATACATGTAGTTAAATATCATCAACGTAGGTATATTGCATATGTTTACATTGGGATAAATATTTTAAATGGTTTCAGATTTGCAGAGAAACTTATTTTTGGGATAATAACCAGGACTAACAATACAATACAAAAAAAACGTTACCGGGTCGAATAAAATGAAGATATTCAGTTCTTCTAAAAAAATCATAAAAATGCTACTTCAAGTTCACTTTATTCATTACCACATTAGATATTAAATCTATGAAAATAAAAAATGTATTTTTTTTTAGATTTGTATTTTGATCTTGATCTTAATCCTTAGGGAACACGAGGTTTGGTTATCTATAACGTTTCAACAAGGAAGGAAATATGTGGAAATGTATAAGGAAACAGTTAAATGTTTTCATACTGCTTAAAATGTTACATACATTATGTAAATCTTTATCAAACTATAACATAAACAGCATTCAAGTTTTATTTGTTAAAGTCAAGATCTAGAGATAAAGAATACTTTTTATATGTTATCTTTAAACTAAACAGTATTGTAAATGCAAATGTTCAAACCAATCAAGATAACATGACCACCATCGCGATAAACTGTACTTTATGAATAATTGGCAAGACAGAAAAGAACATAATTATACAATGTGCCAATATATTACATTGGAGCGTGATACAAATCATTGAACTTGACTAACAGACACTAGTTAATAAAACAAACAAATGTATGATACAATGTTAATAATTTATAATGGTTTATAATCACTGTCCCCATGTACTGAAAATAACGTTTAAAGTAGAATTTGTATTAAGTATCATGTAACCCACTCTTTAATTATTTTATGTTAACCAGTCATATTGTTACTATTGCGACGTTGCTTCTAATAAAAGTGATTGTTGAAAACAAAATAAATAAAAAATAAATAAATACAATGTTGATACCTCGGCAAAATTGTATAAATAGAACGAAATATAAAGCTACATTCAGCAAGCAAATATCTTACCATCAATTACGATGAGAATAAACTAATATATTCCTGGGTGTGGCTGCGAAATTATTATATTGTCAATTATAACCATGGTAACATTTTACACAATATTACTGAGATTTTCTTTGTATCCTGGTTTGAACATTGCAGACACACTAAAAATAAAGCGTTAATTAGTTATAATTCATGCGACAATTATTATAAATTTTTTATGATTTTTGATATTCAAAAATTTTTATATTTAAAGTTATTTTTTTTCATACTAAACTGTTGTGTGCTCATAACTCTGAAAAAAAAATTTCTCAATGAACCCCTTTAACTATCTTCAAAAAAAATTTAAAAAATTAATCCCCCTTCTTTTTTTTAAACCCAAGGCAAAATCTGTACCAAAATTCCCGTTTTAAAATAACAAACCATCTTCCCCCATTTTATATTTTTTCACTCAATAACACCTGAACATTATTACGCAGTTTCCTCTGAGAATCGATCGCATCAGCCCATCTGTTGCTAAATAAGGAAAACTACACCTGGCGTTAAAGAACGCTTATTTGTCAATATTAATTACGTCAGAATAGCACGCAGTACATTATTTTATACACAAACTTTGAGAGTATTGTTTGACACTAAACAATGAAAATGAAAGGTTGTTGATAACGCCTGCTGCGTTCTATGAACGTCGCTAGTGCCTGTTGACATGTGTACTCACATTTTACCTAATTAACAATCATCAGCATAAATAGAGAAAATGGTTTGAGAGCTCAAATTATGATTCGGAAAGCTTGCATTTATCATTACTCTCAATCACACCTTTATCATTACTCTCAATCACACCGAACCTACAACATTTTAAGTTTTGACGTATTGTGCCTTCTGTAAAGTTTCCATAGATCATTCTACCGAAATTGTTTTGCTTATTAATTAGTCCCTGCTTAATATATTCTAGAACAGATTAGAGCAGCACAAACCATCATCATTAATAAATCATTTTGTTCTAATTGTGTAATTTATACATCCGTTTCTAATCTATAAAATTAAAAATATATACAATCCGATCTCTTACCAAATTCTGTTCTACAAAATCAAAAGGAAGAAAAACAACATGTCAACGCCTGTTTGATTTATGGAATTTATTTTCTACCGGTTTCGGTTCTGCAGTTGAGCCGTCATCAGAATAAATATGATAATAAACCATAATCAAAGTAATCTTCTATCATTAAATTGGAATCATATTTCGTTTAAAGTGAAAACAGAAAATTACGCGTGTACGAAGCATTTCAAATAAATTGCTATTGTTCGGACATAATACATGTTAGTCAGGAAATTATTTGAGATAACACGTCGTACATGTGTGTCGTAGTCAATGATATTTTGCAAAAATAGAGGGTCTAATTCAATGCCCTTTTCTTTCGTTTTGTGTAAAACCAGTTCTGTTCAGTTTTTATTTGTTTGGGTCGTAGCGAATTTTCATACCCTGATATGCTTATTTGCAAAATCCGAAAGTAGTCCATCACGAATTCCTCGATGCGGTTACTTCCCTTTATAAGTACACTAACGCTGAAAAATTAAGGAGAGATCACTGCGTAAAGATTGGCAAATGGCAGGCGCATTAATTTTCTAACCTCTGAGGGAATAAAAAGGTAGTTCCCGATTGATTGATTGATTGATTGATTGATTTCTAATATTATGTAATTCTTTAATATTTCCGCAAAGTACCGGTAATAGATTCAAATAATTTTGTTACGCGGATGATAAATGAAAATTGCTCGGCTATTTTCGTAAAGCTTCGGATTATTGTGATCGCCTAAATGAACATTTGTTATTTAAACTTCCTGAAAAATAAAGTAAGGATGTTGACTCTAGTACAGGGACATGATTATTTACATGAATGTTAAACAACAGGTTTACCGTGAATAAAATATCTTGAAATTAATAATGATTAAAAACTCTTATTAAGAATAATATGGTTTGCTTCAGGCTGATTGTTTATAACTTCCCTGTGGTCCAGAGGTTACACGCTCACTTCACAAACCAGCGGTCTGGGATTCGAATCCCAGATAAGGCAACTCTTTTTATTCTTTTTTTTTTAAATTGTCAAATAAACATTGAATTGAAAATCAGTGTTGCAATTAGCCTGTTTGCCAATTTACTACAGCTATATATATATAGACACTATACAAAAACAAATTGATCTATAATCTCACAACCTTCACCTTTCTGACATTCTGAGACCCAAACAAATTCAGCGCCTTCTGTGCTTTGATTATTTAACCAAGGCATGTAATATTCAACTGGTTATAACAAACTATGACAAGCCATTGAACAGAAAAATAACGGCCATAAAAGAAAATCAACTTATATCACATATAAAGGAAAACAATTATGACTTGCTAAAATAAACAAAAATAAGAGATCAAAACTCATTTACAAACAGGAAAAGAAACGAAGAATGAGAAGTATTTTAATATGATATTTTTACAAAAAAGAGATAATTAAAGTAGTATTGTTTTATCACAACTTTTCATTAATCTGTCAAGTTTAAGAATATTGGGATTAATATTTAGATTTACGTTTTATGTCATTAAAATCCGTACATTCAAATAAGTGGTGAAGTTCGTCACCAATAGCTAGATGTGGACATAAGATACAGAATCTTCGATTACAATCTATGGCTAAATTTTGTACGGTACACTATATTAACTATAGGCACTTAGAAGATATATCTATAGTATTATGCCACTCTTGTAAATCATGACCATGCCGTCAAAGCTTCACAATACCTTTAAAGTGATAAATACTATCTACTTTCTGCAAATGAAAATATTCTGAAATAACAAGATCATTAAGAGGGTCTTTTTTTAACTCTTTTACAAATGTTATCCATTGGGAATTAACAATATTTCTCGAGGACAAAGAAAGCATTGTTTTGAACAAAAGTTTATATATCTAACTACCCTTAGCAGTTCTGTTATATCAAATCTGACAAACACCTGTTTCAATATGCCTCAATTTTTCATTGTTCTTTTGTTGAGATATACTTTTCTTTGGTTTTGTTTGCATTTCAAAACCGTGGTTGTTTCTTGTGTAAGTAAGACTTAGGTTTAACTGATGAAAACAATTGCCGTTGTTGTTCTATATAACTGATGCACAAATTTAGATTAAATTGCCGATATTTTTTAAACAAGACGGTCAACTTTTGTTATTTCTGTGATTTTGTCAAGATTATGATAAGATTTAAATATATAAAGTTTTACATGACTTTTGAAACATTGCCAATTTTACACCTCAATTCAACTGACACTGTTACTAACTGGTGGTTATCATATTTGATTGTTATAAAGACACATATAATATAATATAATATAATATAATTATGCAGATCAGTTTTTTTTTTCTCAAATTCTACTTGAAATACCCTGACTAGATGTATAAGAAGTAATGCAGTCACCAGTGCTTGGCTACATACTCAATGTTTACAACATTCTGTCGCCAGATGAAAAACTAGTTTGTCTCAAGTTTTGCATCCCCTTCAATACTTAATATAAATTGCTTTATCTGAATAAGTTGTACATATCTGATTATGAAAAAGTTCATGTTCCCAAATAGTGTTCAGCTTTATTCCAATTTCGGTCACTACACCCCTGAATAAATACTTATTCTAGGAGATTTTTCTGTTTTATGAGTGAAATGAATGATTTATTTGTCATTTTTCTTGTACGAAATGATAATTTAAATAACTTAATAGATGACCTCTGAAGTTCATCGGGTATTATTGTGATACTTATAATATAGAATCATAGCTCTGTGGTGATGTCTATTGTAGTTGTATAATCATATATGAATCGATATTCGTTTAAAATTATGTTTATTAGCAGGTTAGAGCCTTATGTTTTCCCAGATTGATATGTCCTATAAAAACACAATTCTTTTTCAACTAGTTAATGGATGAATGAATGAATGAATGAATGAATGAATGAATGAATGAATGAATGAATGAATGAATGAATGAATGAAAGAATGAAAGAATGAAAGAATGAATGAATGAATGAATGAATGAATGAATGAATGAATGAATGAATGAATGAATGAATGAACGAATGAATGAATGATGAATTAATTAATTAATTCCTTGAAAATAATATGGGTTTTGTGCAATATATGGGTCGATTTTGTAGACCCTTTAATTATTAATCCATCAATCGGTTTTAAAGTAAAGTAAAATGAAATAAAGAAAATATATAAAATGTTATCATATTGTTTTGGTAAACCTTGCTGTTGCTGGTTTTGGGTTGGGAGATGATCAGAAATGACCCCATGTGCATTCATTTTCCTGTTATGTTTGATAGAATTATTTAAGATTTTTTTGACAGCAGATGACAACGATTTCAACAACTATCCAGTCGTAATTTTTAACATAAACATATAACATTCGGCAAACTTGGTCATTTCCATAGGTACCTGTTGACAGGTCGACAACTTCACTTTTGAGAAGAAATTTGCACGGATAACTGTAGCAACGACACAAAACAATGGCGTGGTGTTCGAAAGACCTGTTTCCTACAAAGATGAGCTTTGTTTATTTCATATCTTATATGGGACTTTTTATAAATCAAGGTTTGTTTCCATAAGTAACATATTTCCGCGATGTTCGTTTTGTCTTTCTCTTGGTTACTAGGACTTTGAATAAAAATGATATATTCTATGCTACCAGAGATTTGCGACGCTAAGCATTTGCCGAGGTGACTTACAATGAAAAAATCAAAGCACCCGGTACTTACCCGTTTAAAGTCTTATTTCCTGTTAATCTTGATCAATTGTACATGCAAAATCTGCAACAACGGGAAAGTGAATAATAAAACTGAAATCAAATGTTTGTAGACTGATCAACTCAGAATATCTTAATGTTTAAACAGCATAGAATTTTAACCTGTTGCATCAAAAAAAATCCAATATGTATCATAATTCATTTACATGTTTGCATTCTCCCTCCCTCAAACAAACTGGTCTCAGACTCCCTTTACTTTGCTGCACACAATAGCTCTGTCAATCAAATCACTGTGAGGAGTTTGCCTCCTGTGCATGTTTTAATGATACAGAGTGGACTTCAATAGAATGATGACATCCTTAATTCCTTCCTTAACATGCGAGACAATTAGATATAATAAACACCTTTAGATTTCTTACTTTCTTATATATAGTACTCCCCGCGGGTACCGCGTCCTGAATCCGGGTCAGCTCGGCCCTAAAACATACTCGGCCCCCGAGTCAGCTCGGCCCTATTCCAACTCGGCACGGGTCAACTCGGCCCACTTTTAAATATGGGTAAAAGACATCAAAGGACTCCTATTGTCAAGGGGTATTATTATCAATCAATGTGTATGTTAAGGATACCGATTAATTAGGTGATAATTATGATTGACTCATTCATTCAAATTTGATTAGACCACCTGCAATTAATTAGAAGCTAATGCTATTAAGTAAACACGTTTTTGTTTCATATTTTTTTGAAAATTACTTTACAAATTTTTTAATTTCATCGAATCTGCAAGACAAATAAATAACTTTTTTTCTAAATATACTTTATTTCGGCAGAGGTACAATGTATAATTATATAAAAATAATAATAATAAGATATTTCTTATTATTCATTTACCTTAACAACATGCAAAGCAAAGTAAAAACGTTATATAGGCCTATATATTTTTGTAAAGTGGGCCGAGTTGACCCGTGCCGAGTTGACCCGTGCCGAGTTGGTATAGGGCCGAGTTGACTCTTTTCCCCGCGTCCTTGCCCATTCCGGTGCAATCAGAAAATGTGTTTCTTTATTCACTGAACGCGACCAATCGAATGTTTCCACCATTAAAGTGAAAGTGGAAGTGCTGATTTTTTGAATTTGGATAAAAAATGTTCGAAATATTTTCATTTAAAATAAATTTCTGTCATTGATAGGAAAATCCAAAGCTGCCCAAGTGTGTTGGAAATACTTTTTTATTTTATCCCATATTTACCGGTAAAACTGAAAATTTCCTGTTCTGACAAATAAAGGTCGTCTTCTGAAACTGCAGTGATGTCATATTCTGTTGAAAAAATTCTACTGATTCCAAAATGGGCCATCAATTTACATACCACGGTACCATAGTGCTCTCCGTTTAAGCTCCCATTCAAAACATGACTTAATGACCATATATGTTTCTAATTTAAATCATTGAATTATTCTATGAATGACATGTGTATTTTAAACTCAAGATGCGATAGTTAAACATAATTTAATAAAATAGTAAATACAAGTTCTTTTCATGTGTAAAATTTGCTGGAAATAATAAGAACAGTGGTACCATAGGGGACCATCCTAAATTTATTTATCTAGAAAAGAAAATAATTAGAATAAAAAAATGCCTGATTTTACTGCTAGTATAAAATTAAATTATTGTATGACTTTATATTAGTCAAATATATTGACATGAAAGATTCTAGAGATATAAAGATATGTTTGTTCTGGGTCAGAATCTCAGATATTGTCCATATACAGAAATAGCACAATATCTCATTACGTAGTACAATTAGTTGCACCAGACTTTTTTACCTGATTTTTTTCTAATTGTTAATGCTCATGAACTGAAAATGGCACTGATAATTTCTTTGATATGTATATACAGTGGTCTGTCTAGCAACTTGGCAGTTTGAGCGACTTAGTCACCTAAAGTTTCTGAACTTTGCTTAGTTTGAAGATCAAAGTGAAATGACATTTCACTTTTACTTACCACATGTACAGATGTTTACAGAATATATGCTTGTCATCATCTCTGGGTGTAACTTAAACTTGATTGGTGATACATAGTTGCTGATAAAAGTTGACTGCAATTAAAATATATGTGACATGATATGCAGCTCCATTGGACATTGTGCCCTTGTGCTGATGTAAATATTGCAGCTAATTAAACATAATTTATATGACACCTGTCCTGCCACTTTATAATCGGCAAATTTAAAAATTTTACATACTCAATTGGTCTTACCATATTTAAAAGTAACTACACCCTATGTCATAGCGACCTTTGCTAATTTAAATGCATAGGCTCAGGGTTTTCAACAGTATTTGAGATGATTAAAGATGGCAAATTCTATTGGAAGGAATTTTGGAGTAAAAAAAAGAACTTAACATTTTTTCACATGATATATAAATTATTTAAATATGAAAAAAAAATCTTTTATTCTATTTTATGCACACTGAGTAATAAGCAGACAAACCATGTGTAAACTACAAATTGTCAGACTCACTGAAATTTAGTGACACAACATGCAACAGTTTTACTTCACCTTTGATGCTAAAAAAGCTTATGACTATAGGAACGTATATTCCCTCAGACTACTTGACTTCATTCACAGATCATATTATACTTTGGCCTTATACACACAATTTCCTCAATACAAGAGTAATTTACATAACAAAACCAGATTATGTAGATGGTTGGGTGAGTGCTACTATTAGCGAAGTACCTAGTGAGCATTTGATTGTACCAGTATATAACTCAGTCAAAATCTTTAACATACAAATTGGTAAAAATAAGTAGTGACCTATATGATCAATCATATTAAGATCATATTCTTGTAATAATACAACAATAACATTTTATCAACACTCACAGGTAAAAAAAAATAATCAGGTGTAAAGTAACTGTTATGAATCTTGGAAGCTATTCACCCATTATTTTCTTCTTTGTGTGTTGTAATGTAAGTTGAAATTTAAAACTTTGGAAATATATTATAATTAAATTTGCTTAATTTATATGTAACTAATTATGATTCATTTATTGTCTTAACACAACATATGCACTTGACACTGGTAATGGTCAAAACAATGGTAAACATACATGTATGATAATCCGACTCTTTTATATTTATAAATTTCTTTATTTCTTATTGAATATTGAGAAATTACAGTGTGTTTTATCACAGTATCATAATGGCATATCCAAATGCTTTTGTATAAAACATAGATATTTTCTATTCTTGTAAAACAAATGAAATTTTACACCATGCAGCCTTGTTTGAGATTTTTATGTTTATTCATTGACAGGTATACTGGTTACAGCTTCAAAGTCAAAGAACAATACATACAGTTACAATACCGTGACAGTGGTACTGTTGACAGAATGTATTAAATTGGTTGCAGCTATTTTGATTTATCTGAAAGAGTAAGTACAATTTTAGACTAATATTTCATTCATACATGTATTATTTTAAAACAAAAAATATAAAATCATGTACTAATGAAATGTTTCTGGCTTTTATACCAATTTTTACCCACTTTTTGATCATCTTGATAGACAGTCCAGCTAACCAGATTTCCTTGATAACTAACCAGTAATTGCCAATTTCTCTGCTAGTGACTTCAGATATGAAGTTATGCAAGTGAGTTATACTTTAATGTTTCAGCCTCAGGCTTTTCTGTTGGCTGTGTAGGCTATCCATGATCAAAAATAGTTAAATGGATACAGTTGACTGGAATTGATATCATCATTTATAGCGCCTTACATAACCTGATGTTCCACGCTTACATTAACGTCACTTCCGACTTTACATTGTTTCTGTTGTTTACTCTATATATGATTGTTGATCAGTAAAGGTTGAATCTGGAAACTGCAACGCATTTTGTTTAGTTATTATACACCCCCACAACAGTCATACCATTGTACTTATACTAAGTATATTCTAAGTATATTCTTTTAACATTTTAGGAAATCCCCATCATCGTTTGTTAGTGACTTTGTCAATAATAAAGAAAGTAAGTATTTGCTATTTCATGCTTTGATAAAGAGATAAAGAACTTGTAAAGTTAATGTATATTTTTTGTCCTGTTAATAGTATTACTGCCCTCAGGTACTTAATTATCAATTATTTTAATAAATCTTTGAATTGAAAATACTTTTCTGGTAAGATAATTGTGTCAAATTATCAATTATAAATATAATTTGATCGTCATGTCTGTAAACAAAATTTATATTTATTTAATAGAGGATATTGAATGATGGTAGGTTTAATACATAATTTATTGGACAAGTTGAATAAAATCATATTATGTGAGTCTCTTTGAGCATAATATTGTTTTATTCAACAAGTTCAATAAATTTGGTATTGAATCTACACAAATATAATATTCTAATAATCACATATATAAATTAAGAAGGGTAAATAGGGTGTTAAAAAAGGTCCTTTTTTATGCCCCCCTCCCCCTGAAGGGCGGCATATTCAACTCGCACCGTCTGTCTGTCTGTCTATGCATCCCCACTTCATTAGTGTCCGGTCTGTAACTTTGTCATACATTGAGAGATTTTGAAATAGCTTGGTGCAAATGTCTACTACATCAAGACGATGTGTCTGTCGCGTCTAAGGATTCGACCCTACCTCAAAGGTCTAGGTCACACTAACATTTTGAAGTTTCACTTTATCACAATAAGAGTTTATAGGTACACACATTTGTGTCCGGACTGTAATTTTGTTGTGCATCGAAGGATTTAAAATATCAAGGCTTAAATGTTTACATCGTCCAAGACTCATGTCCCTACCTTCAAGGTCAAGGTCACACTTACAGTTTAAAGGTACTCATTCTTTCGAGAAGAGTTTGAAGATACACAATCAAGTCTGGACTATAACTTTGTCATTCATGGAAGGATTTAAAAATAACTTGGCACCAAAGTCTACCACATCAAGATGATGTGTCTCAGCTAATGCTCATGTCTGTCTGTCCATCCATCCATGTATCCCCACTTACACAACAATCATGTCCTGACTGTAACTTTGTAATGCATTGAGGGATTTTGAAATAACTTGGCACAAATGTCTATCACATGACAACATTGTGTCGCGTCCAAGAACCACGTCCCTTCTTCATAGGTCAAGGTACACTTACTTTTGAAGGTTCATGCTATCACAATTAGAGATAATAGGTACACACATTCGTGTCCGGACTGTAACTTTGTCATGCATCGAAGGATTTTAAAATAACAAGGCATAAATGTCTACCACATCAAGATGACGAGTGTATGTAAGACCCATGTTCTACCTCCAAGGTCAAGGTCACTTTAATAGTTTGAAGGTACTGATACTCATCAGAAAAGTTGAAGGTACACATTAGTTTCCAAACTGTAACATTGTCATGGATTAAAGGATTTTAAAATAACTTGGCATAAATGTCTACCACATGAAGATGATGTGTCACATCCAAGACCCTTGTCCCAAGGTGTTAAGTTTGCTATAAATAGCACTTCATTTCACAACAATTAGTTACTTTCATTCTCATTTCTTTTCATAATACCTGCATGCTTAAAAAACCTTTTCGGAGGCATTCGTCATTGTGTGACAGCTCTTTTTATTGAATGTCTTTATTACACTCCTGTGCTTCAGTTTATATGATTGAAACTGATCAAAATATTTTCAACTGAAGAAATGCATACACCCAGATCAGTCTTTAATATTCAACACCTTTTATTACTTGATTTGTGAGATCACAAATATTTACTGACGCATTATTATGAATATACCTTAAAATAATTCTGGAAATAATCGGATAGCCAATTGATAAAACTGTTTACACAGGAAAGGTCTATTTGCATCCATCTTGTAATAAGCTGTTATTGCACTAATGATTTTTATGTTATAGAAATACATGTAATTGTATATTTCAGCATTACTGTACTATTTTGTACCAGCTGGTCTGTACTGTCTATATAACAACCTTCAGTTTGAGAATCTAGCTAACTATGACCCAACCACATACTACCTTCTTCTACAGTTCAGGGTGGTTGTTACTGGAGTTGTCTTTCAGGTAAGTCAATTTATTTACTTGTTGTTTTTTTGTCAGGAACAATTTCAGGAGTATGGAGTATTATAATCTGTAAACTTTTCTATTTTTGCAGACTCTTTTGCAAAATACTTTAATCAAACTTTATCAAATGGTGCATGTAAAAACAGTTTGATTGTGTCTATATTATATTTTTGGTGTGAATATGTTTACCTGTTTAAAAATCCTTATTAGTCCCCTACCGGTTTAACCGGAGGGGACTTTAGATTTACCCTCCGTCTGTCTGTCAGTCCGTCAGTCCGTCCGTCCACAAAACTGGATCCCGCGATAACGCAAAAAGTACTGAAAATATTTTTATGAAACTTGATATATGGATAGATGGCAGTATGGAGATTATGCACGTCTTTTTTTTTCTTCCTATGTTGAAAATTCTGGTTGCTATGGCAACAAATAGTCTGAAAATATGGCAAATTTAACACATAAACTGGATCCAGTGATAACTCAAAAAGTACTGAAAATATTTCTATGAAACTTGAAATATGGGTAGATGGCAGTCTGGAGATTATGCACATCTTTTTCTTTTCTTCTTATGTTGAAAATTCTGGTTGCTATGGCAACAAATAGCCTGAATTTCAAGATTTCTGATTTAAATTTTTCAGCTTTTTCACTATATGTTCTTTATTTCTTAAGGTGTTTACTTCAAACTTTAAATATAAGTTTCTGGTCATCAACCACATCATATGTGACAAGGTTTATAACTCTAGCACAAAAAATATCAGTATTACCTCCCTTGAACTTAGATTTTTAGGGGAAAAAATGTTGTCTTTTTTAAATAACTTCTTTATTTCCTAATGTATCTACTTCAAACTTCATATATATGTTTCTTATTAACACTCAACATTTTTGAGAAGGTTAAATACTCTAGCAAGACTATTTCCAGAATTATGTCCCCCTTGAACTTAGATTTTTTTCGAGAAACTGGTATTTTCACTCCAACTTCTTCATTCCTTATAGGATTTACTTTAAAATCCCACATCGTAATAATATGACAAGGTTGTATAAACATAATTTCCTTACTAAGCATGGAAACTTAACACATTACTGTGATATAGACAAACTTATTTTATTATGTTTTGTGGTCGATATTTTCAAATACAGACTTCATCCTCAAATTCATTATAAATGGCAATACACAGGAGTGTATGACAATTAAAGAACTTTTTGAGGGACCGGTAGGGGACTACTGTATTGCCCGCAATACTATCAAATGCTTGTTAAGTAAGTTTTGTACATGTGATTATGGACAACATTATTCAATTTTTCTTATTCTTGTTTTTTTCGTAACAAAATATATCAGTCCCTCATGAAAAAAACTTAGATTGTAGTACACATAGATCAAAGCTTTAATTTTCCAAAATCGTGGCCAAGTGGTTAAGGCTGTTCACTTCAAACCACTTGCATCTGCCCACTGTGGTTTTGAATTCTCGATAGGTACTTTGGATTCTTTGATGTGAGGAAACTATCCAACTAAAATGGGGAATGTCAGTGATTCTACTCACTGTACCCGTTCCTGCCTGAACTAATGCACGGAAGGGCACTTGAGGTATTCCACCACCAGTAATGCTGGAAATTCGCTATTTGACCTATACTTTGTTGGTGAGACATAAAACCTAACCATCCAACATGGTAAGGCTTCATGTTAATTCATGTTATATAAGAAAGTTTCAATCTGTGTTATTTTTGGAGATTTGCTAAGATGGAATGTTTGATATGATTATAACACATATATGTGAGAAAGTTGAAATGATGATCTTTTTAATTTTTCTTTTTTTTTTCCAGATTGTATTTCAGAAACAGTTAAGTCGTATACAGTGGGTATCTCTAGTATTTCTCACATTTGGCTGTATAGTAAAGGAGTATGGTAGACTAACTGGTAGTGGTACAGCTGCTGATGCAACTAAAGAAACTTCATTCCTTAATCTACATCTATTCTTAATCCTTGTTCAGGTAAATTTTATAAATTTTTCAGCAAATGTAGAAATGGGTTTTCATAACTGTTTTTTTTTCCCCAAAAGAAAAAGCAAAAAAAAGAATAAAATTCATCCTTATTATGTCTCTTGCCTATGAGGACATCAAGACAACCAAACAGTGTAATAAAAAGTGTATTAATGTACTAATTTGATTACGAATTTTCATATCATGAAAGTCTGGCTCAGTTTCATTTCTAGCGCCTTCTTGAAATTTCATATAAATTATATAACAGGGTACATACAGTCTTAAAAAGGTCTTAAATGTCAGCCCCTTTCTTAAAAGTGCTTAAAAATGAAAAATAATATCCTTCAATTTGCTTTATTTCTAAAAAAGTGCTTGAAAAGTACTTAGTTAATATCTGAAAAGGTGCTTGTAAATGAAAAGGATGACATATTCTTGGTTAGAAAAGATATAGTTTCAACAAACAATCTCATTTAGTATTAAAGTTAAAAAATAAAATAAATGTTTGCTCACAATTATTGGTTACAGCTAGTGTGTGTATGACAGTACCATTATAAGTTACTTGATCATTGATATTTGTTTGACACAAAAGCTTGAAAAATCATAAAAAAAAGAGTTTAAAAATGCTTGAATTTTGGCATTGAATGTCTGTATGAACCCTGTTTAAACTTTATGCTATAGAGCCACTGTTACATAATTTTACATTACATGCTAGTTTTCAGTGACTTTTGAGAGGCATTTGTTGTAATTTAATTGTTTGGTAATCATTTCATTTTTGTATTTCAGGTGTTCTGTTCATGTTTTGCTGGTGTGTACAATGAATATTTACTGAAGGGACGTGGTGTAGACATTCATATCATGATGCAGAATGTATTTATGTACTTGGACTCGATCGTCTGCAACGGGCTTATTCTTGCATACAAAGGACAGCTTACCGACGCATTCACTGCATCAAGCCTTAGTTCAATTTTCCAAATTAATGTTATATGTATAATGCTGAACAACGCAGCTATTGGTATTGTCGTGAGTCTATTTTTACGATCTCTCAACTCCATTCTCAAGACATTTGCTAGTGCTTTAGAACTGATGTTTACAGCAGTATTGTGTTGGTTCCTATTTGGTATAACTATAGATGTTTATACAATCATTGCTATTGTTATTGTGTCGGCAGCCACCTTCCTGTATGCTCACAACCCTGTGGTAAATGTACCAAAAGATGAAACTCAAGACAAAGAGAAGGCAAATGGGAAATCTGAAACAGTTTAGTTCTTTTAGAATTGAACTCTGTTTCAATGGACATGTAAAATAATGTGGTATAATGACTGAACAAACTTTATTTATTGAATTTGGGCTCTAAATTCTATTAGAAATATAACATAAACAAGGAGAAGTTTATGATGAGGGGGCTTTAACTTTTTTCTATCATTTATGTATATTTATTCATATTTGGGAATGTACAGTTACACTGCAGTCAAACGTGTATTAAGCGACCGGGTAAGGGAAGCACCCAAAACGGTCGCTTAATGAAACGGTCTCTTAAGACAGCATGATATAAAAGTCAAAATTTATAAATGACATCTTTTTAGCTCACCTGTCACAAAGTGACAGGGTGAGCTTTTGTGATCGCTTTTCGTCCGTCGTCCGTCCGTCCGTAAACTTTTACTTTAAATGACATCTCCTCATAAATCACTTGGCCAATTTCATCCAAACTTCACAGGAATGTTCCTTTGGTGGTCACCTTTAAAAATTGTTCAAAGAATTTAATTCCATGCAGAACTCTGGTTGCCATGGCAACCGAAAGAAAAAACTTTAAATATCTTCTTTTAAAAAACCCTAAGAGCTAGAGCTTAGATATTTGGCATGAAACATCTTCTAGTTAGTGTCTACCAAGTTTGTTCAAATAAAAGCCCTGGGGTCAAAATTGGCCCCGCCCCAGGGGGTCATTGATTTTCCCTATATGCATATAGTATAAACTTAAAAAATCTTCTTTTAAAAAACCCTAAGAGCTAGAGCTAAGATATTTAGCATGAAACATCTTCTAATGAGTGTCTACCAAGTTTGTTCAAATAAAAGCCCTGGGGTCAAAATTGGCCCCGCCCCAGGGGGTCATAGATTTACCCTATATGCATATAGTAAAAACTTAAAAAATCTTCTTTTAAAGAACTCAAAGAGCTAGAGCTAAGATATTGAGCATGAAACATCTTCTAATGGGTGTCTACCAAGTTTGTTCAAATAAAAGCCCTGGGGTCAAAATTGGCCCCGCCCCGGGGGTCATTGATTTTCCTTATATGTGTATAGCAAAAACTTAAAAACTCTTCTTTGAAAAAACCCAAATAGCTAGAGTTAAGATATTAAGCATCAAACATCTTCTAGTGAGTGTCTACAAAGTTTGTTCAAATAAAAGCCCTGGGGTCAAAATTGGCCCCGCCCCGGGGGTCATTGATTTTCCTTATATGTGTATAGCAAAAACTTAAAAACTCTTCTTTGAAAAAACCCAAAAAGCTAGAGTTAAGATATTAAGCATCAAACATCTTCTAGTGAGTGTCTACAAAGTTTGTTCAAATAAAAGCCCTGGGGTCAAAATTGGCCCCGCCCCGGGGGTCATTGATTTTCCTTATATGTGTATAGCAAAAACTTAAAACTCTTCTGTGAAAAAACCCAAATAGCTAGAGTTTAGATATTAAGCATGAAATATCTTCTAGTAAGTGTCTACAAAGCTTGTTCAAATAAAAGCCCCTGGGGTCAAAACTGGCCCCGCCCCAGGGGTGTCGTTGTTTTTTAACTATATGTGTATAGTAAAAACTTAAAAAATCTTCTTTTGAAAAAACCCAATGAGGTAGAGCTTAGATGTTTAGCATGAAACATCATCTTATGGGTGTCTACCAAGTTTGTTCAAATAAAAGCCCTTGGGTTAGAATTGGCCCTGCCGTGGGGGGGGGGAGAGGCCTATATACAGGTGAGCGACCTCAGGGCCATCATGGCCCTCTTGTTTATTCGGTGGGATTGTTTTTCAACTTCAAATTTATATAAATGTTGAAAAAAAGTACGCTCCGATAATCTAAATGGATGCAAATGTAAAAAATAACTTTCTGGTATTTATTGACAAAACAGTTTCAAGATCCATTACGTACATGTTTGACATTTTTCCAGAATTTTTTAACTTCTCCGTTGTTTTTCCTTATCTCCAACGCGAAAATCCTATTAGTGAAGATTGTTTTCTGTTGTGCTTTTTTTTCATTTCAAATAAACAAACTACATCTATTTGTTACGATAAATTTAATGGCTGATCAAGTTCAAGGTCAATTCAATGCAGTCTAAATGTCAACAAGCGAAGCGCATACACCATCGCAGTATGGGCGGAGCGTTGCATTGTTTATCCGATATTATTGGATAATAGACGTCACGCGTATACTTAACTTCATTTGCATACGCTGAAACAGTATGGGAAATAGAGTTTTTCACACGTTTATTGTTGTGTTTTGATTGTTGACACTTGTGACATAACGAGGTGGCGTTCTCTAAAAACACAATTACTTGACAGGTAAAAGTGGTCGTTTAATGAAAAGATTGATGTCAATTAGGTGACTAATTAGCGGTCGCTGGTCGCGTTGAGCAAAAGTCGCTTAATACATTAAAGATATAGAGAGAAAATGATCGGGGGGAATTTAAAGTGGTTGTTTAAGACAAAAGTCGCTTAATACACGTGGTTGCATGGGCAAGTTAGACTGTAGTATCTTGTGCAACATTTATTTGAACCATTTTATGATTGTTCAGGTATCATTTTGCTTTTTTAAGTGACATTATGCCCATCCAAGTGTGTACGGTAAGTAAACAGGTGAAAGTAAAAATGAGTTTATATTTTGCCTTATTTTTTTCAGTTTTATAATTTATTTGGCATAACCAGTAAATAACTCAACTTGTTGAAGGAAATTTTAGTAAAATACTCATCGGAATGTACCTGTAATGTTCAATTTATAAAAAAAAAGGGGGGCAGTATTTTTATATTTTAGGCAGATTTATATTTTATCCTAAACATTTTCCAATATCAATTTTTGGTCAATCACCATTTTAACAAGATATGGTCAATCCAGCACAAATTGACAATGAAAATTTGAGCATAATGTCACTTTAATGTAAAAAACTTCTGCAGTTACATTAGATGGTGAAAATATCATTGTAACAAAGAGTGTCTGTGATGTTGATTTTTAATTTTATGATAATGTGCTCAATTAAAAAAGAAAAACAACAATAATGTATATTAGTACATTTCAGCTGACATAAAAGAAGTTGATGTTTGATCTTATTGGTGGTCCAATAGGATTACAGCATTTCAAATGAATCGTAACACATTTGCTTTGGTAAATCAGCTAGTAAATTGACTGTTTATAAAAATAATTTCAAGCACTAAATTGGTTAGTGTTTGCAGGTGTTCTTAACTAATTTAATTTTGTAAATGCTTACTAATAAACACTAACCTATACTTAAAAGTAAACAGATATCCAATGTGTTTAAGTTTTTAAAAACTTAATAAATCTAGATAAAAGCAATTGATGTTTGTAAATCAGTTGTTGTAGAATGTGTCTTGTTCACCATCACTATAACACAAATATAAATTTTGATAAGAATGTAGCATAAGTTTTGTTAAGAAAGTAATACAGGTGAACTACATGAAAATCTTGCTTGTGCGGTTCCATTTAAATTGATTGAATATTACTATTGTAGGCTTGTAGCCTTAAAGGCCCAACTGGACTATAAAAGCCAGCAGATGGCGCTAGGGCAGGTTTCTTATTAATTTTATGCATGCTTCACTTCAGGGACCCTTTTTCAAAGATTTAAGATTAATTACCAAATGCATTTAAACAACACTTGGCATGTATGTAGGCATAGGTATTCTTGATATAGATTGACCAAAATTATTCAAAATAAAACTTTGTTGAGTGTGTTTCTGGAAAAAAATACTGGCTGTCAAATTTGAAATTTGAATTTCCATGGGAGGAGCCAACTGATCATTACAGGTCATGAACCTTCAGTAGTAAACAGATGCACGTCGGCAGTGTTTATTTCAGTGAGAGAGATTTGTAGCAGACGATATATATTTCAGGGAGGAGATTTTCAGCAGACGACACATTCGAATGCTGAATACATGATAAGAAAAAAACAATAACTTTTACTGATCTTACTTTATCAAAAAGTATTTATATCCAACAAATTTACAATAATCCATTAATCTATGATTTTTTTTTAAATTTCAAAGTACTGATTCAACGTGTATTTAAATGGTTTAAAACTTCATGAAAACAGTAAAAAGTAACTTCCCAGGTATATTTCATTTACACTATACTTATTTTTTGTAAATATCTTGGGTAGTCAAAATTACATTTCACAAATGTTTATTCATTTGTATAAATTTTTATATATTAATAGTTTAAAAATATTTTAAATTCCTGCTCAAGATCATTTTTAGCAGTTTTTCTTTAAAAGAAATGTCCCATGTAAGGCACATCCTTTGGATTTGGACATAGTTGTCTGACTTGATGAAAAACAACTGACTTCAAAAGTAATATCTGGACAAGATGGCTTGATAATGTCTTTTAATTAATCTGATTAATCTGTGAGTTATATAAAACATCCATTAAACCTCTCCTGTGTAAAATCAGCTCTCTCTGCAGGTTAACACTGCATTCTATTTTTAGCTCATGGTTTATAACAGACAGTTTTACATCACTGATTAGTCACACCCACAAATACTCGCTGCCGCGGCAGCGAATGTTGCCCCTTTAAGTTTAGAAGCATTGTGTGTCATTTTCTTTTAAAGATAAGATTTAAAGTGTTTAAAAGACATTTTAATTTATTGCTTTATATCGTAAATTTTGAAAGGTCATTTAGATGAATGTTTGCAATAGCAAATGTTTTTACTGATTTTTTGCTGACTCAATTTTTGTTTGTGTTTTTAGCTCACCTGTCACAAAGTGACAGGGTGAGCTTTTGTGATCGCTTTTCGTCCGGCGTCTGTCCGTCGTCTGTAAACTTTTACTTTAAATGACATCTCCTCATAAACCACTAGGCCAATTTCATCCAAACTTCACAGGAATGTTCCTTTGGTGGTCACCTTTAAAAATTGTTCAAAGAATTTAATTCCATGCAGAACTCTGGTTGCCATGGCAACCGAAAGAAAAAACTTAAAAAATCTTCTTTTAAAGAACCCAAAGAGCTAGAGCTAAGATATTTAGCATGAAACATGTTCTAATGAGTGTCTACCAAGTTTGTTCAAATAAAAGCCCTGGGGTCAAAATTGGCCCCGCCCCAGGGGGTCATTGATTTTCCCTATATGCATATAGTAAAAGCTTAAAAAATCTTCTTTTAAAGAACTCAAAGAGCTAGAGCTAAGATATTTAGCATCAAACATGTTCTAATAGGTGTCTACCAAGTTTGTTCAAATAAAAGCCCTGGGGTCAAAATTGGCCCCGCCCCGGGGGTCATTGATTTTCCTTATATGTGTATAGCAAAAACTTAAAAAATCTTCTTTGAAAAAACCCAAATAGCTAGAGTTTAGATATTAAGCATGAAACATGTTCTAGAAAGTGTCTACAAAGTTTGTTCAAATAAAAGACCTGGAGTCAAAATTGGCCTCGCCCCGGGGGTCATTGATTTTCCTTATATGTGTATAGCAAAAACTTAAAATCTTCTTTGAAAAAACCCAAATAGCTAGAGTTTAGATATTAAGCATGAAACATCTTCTAGTAAGTGTCTACAAAGTTTGTTCAAATAAAAGCCCTGGGGTCAAAATTGGCCCCGCCCCAGGGGGTCATTGATTTTCCCTATATGCATATATTTAAACTTAAAAAATCTTCTTTTAAAGAACTCAAAGAGCTAGAGCTAAGAAATTTAGCATGAAACATGTTCTAATAGGTGTTTACCAAGTTTGTTCAAATAAAAGCCCTGTGGTCAAAATTGGCCCCGCCCTGGGGGTCATTGATTTTCCTTATATGTGTATAGCAAAAACTTAAAAAATCTTCTTTGAAAAAACCCAAATAGCTAGAGTTTACAGGTGCTGCTATATACAGGTGAGCGACCTCAGGGCCATCATGGCCCTCTTGTTTATGTTTTTTTTTTTTTTTAATGTTTTGGATTTTATTCATATTGTGTTAAGTTCTTTTATTGTAGTTTATTTGTTGAATCCAGTGTTTGGCATTGAACTAAAATGTGCTTTTTTAAACAAAGTATTCTAAAAAAGAAATAGAACAGAATGAACAACTTATTTATTTTTTGCCTTTTTAATTCTAAAATAAACTTCTGTGACAAGTCCTGTTAACATTTTGTCACAAAAGTGCAATAAAGCTACTTGCCAATGTTGATTTTCACATTTTATAGAAATATATAAGTTCATATTTAACAAATATTTAAAATATTATTAGCAAATAAATACTTTATTTGTGAGTAACATGTTCATTAAGTTGTAATATTAGGGTAATTCAAATTCAAAATTACTAAAAGCATAATAATAGTATAATAGGAGTAAATATATGAGAATCAAGTTTTACTAACCATTATGATTAACCTTAAAATGTCTTTTGTAGCTCAAGTTTTTTATGCCACCGCAGCATCTGCGATGCGGTGGCATATAGCGATTCACCTGTGTGTGTGTTTGTTTGTGTGTGTGTGTGTGTGTGTGTGTGTGTTATATAGATTATATAGTGAACTTAAAAAATCTTCTTGTGAAAAACCAC